GGGGGGGGGGGGGGGGGGGGGGGGGGGGGGGGGGTAATACAGCGGGAGCACTAGACTGAACTATTGCAACGGAAGCTTTTGCTTGGTTGTACAAGCACTTGGAAACTAACCAAATGATACTGTTCACGAGGTCATCTCCGTCAAGAAGCTCTCTATAACCGGGCTCATACATATTATGGTATCAGACTCCCAGAGGGTCAAACAGTAACATATGATCGTGTGCCGAGTGTGAAGTTGACATATGTTTTAGGTAGTCGTATATATACGGGTAGTCTCTCTCGATGGCCCACTCAGTGCTGGCGAAGGGTGACAAAGCGTAACTTGCATCATCCCATTTAAATACCGATCTGAATGTTTGGCTTCATTGGACCTCATAGTTAGCAAGTATATGCCCATATCTATTCAAAACTCAGACATGTATCGATATATCGTGTGTCCTCTACAAACAGAAACACCGGCATATCTGGAGTAACAGTCTACATTTCTGATTTGCCTCTGGAGGTACCTGCTCGGGCATGTCAGTAGTGATAATAATACCCTAGTTTACACGATTGGACTTCGGCTCGACATATGGCAGATGTCGGTGACTATCATGTTGGTGTGCAACGTTGTACTGTTGTATTCCTGTTGGTATCGACGTCATCCATATTCGTTTAGTACCTACCTCGGATAGTTTTGATCACTTACCAGATGACATACCAGTTTTGTTTGCGAATTTCGATGTATTTTTCACCCGTCAAGGAAGGGATATATTTGCACGGTCTGATTGCTCCATCGCGGTATTGATTCACCGTGCTAGTTTAGCAAGTATTTAATGACAAAATGAGACTTCAATTTATGTCTCTCCAAGCTCTGGCCTCTGTGTTGTGCCATATCCAGTTGGCGATTGCTGTTGGTTCCAGCCATCAGCGGGTTGAACAGCTAGACAAGGTACCAGACGGGTGGTCAAGAGGGGATAAACCGTTGCCCTCTAAGCTTATAAAATTCCGGCTATCGATTAACCAGCATAACGCCAGAGAGTTCGAGCAAAGGGTCGTCGAGCTCTCAACCCCAGGCCACGCAAGCTATGGTCAACATATGAAACGAGACGAAGTGAAACAATTCTTGAGTCCATCTCCTGCCATTTCAGACCGGATTATTGCGTGGCTGCGGTCAGAAAGTGTGCCGGCCAGTTCTATCAACTTAGATGGCCATTGGATCTCGTTCACAGTTCCAATTTGCCGGGCCGAGCAGATGCTGAAAACAGAGTTTTTCAACTTTCATCAACAAGACCCGCAAAGCATCGCCATTCGAACTCTTGGCTATTCCGTGCCTAGGGCATTACATGCCCATATTCAATTGATTCAGCCTACAACTCGATTCGGTAACCTCGTACCTCAAAGAAGCTCCATTTTTAAACCAAAAACAGCGACTTCCGAGCAGCGAGCCGCTGGATGCGATACAACTGTCATACCAGACTGCATTCAGGGTCTGTATGGAATCGATAACACAACCACCAGACCCGAATGGCGGAATCGATTGGGGATATCTGGTTTCTTGGAACAATATGCTCGACACGCTGATTTCGATGAGTTTTTGCGTCTTTATGCGAGTGGCCACACAGACGCAAACTTCAGTGTCGTCTCGATCAACGGCGGCCAGGATGATCAGCACTCCATTTCTGACAGTGTCGAAGCAAATCTAGATGTACAGTACTCCATTCCGCTGGCTGATGAAGTGCTAGCAACATTCTATAGCACCGGTGGACGCGGTCCTGTTGTCCCCGAAATAAATCATCCAGACCCCACCGAGTCATCAAACGAGCCATATCTTGAACAGCTCCATTACTTATTGAATCTTCCAGATGAAGAGCTTCCCGCGGTGCTTTCCAACTCGTATGGAGAAAACGAGCAGAGTCTTCCACCGTCGTATTTAAACGCAACTTGCAGCTTATTTGCCCAGCTCGGTGCCCGAGGAGTTTCAATCCTTTTTGGTAGCGGAGATTCTGGTCCGGGAAGTATTTGCGTGAGAAATGACGGGTCGAATCAAACAAGGTTTCTCCCTGGATACCCAGCTTCTTGTCCATTTGTTACCGCTGTGGGTGGAACATACGGCATCAACCCCGAAAAAGCGGTTTCCTTCTCCGGAGGTGGATTTTCAGAGGTCTTCCCGCGTCCCCGATACCAGGACCAGGCAGTGAAAGGCTACCTTCGTCACCTTGGAAGACGATGGAATGGATTGTACAATGCTACGGGAAGGGGATATCCCGATGTATCAGCCCAAGCTGCCAATTTCATTGTTCGAGACCATAGCGAGTGGATCTCGGTCGGCGGTACAAGGTTTGTCTTTCGCGGATTTTCCGGAGAGAACAGTAAGCTGACTGTGTGCAGTGCTTCAACGCCAGTGATTGCAGCTGTAATTTCTCGGCTCAACTCAGCTCGTATTGCCCAGGGTAAGCCTCGAATGGGCTTCTTGAACCCATGGCTTTATGGCCACGGGCACACAGGGCTCAAGGATATTGTTCTGGGCAGTTCCACAGGCTGTAGACGGAGTCTTGGCGATCCTCGGGTACGGAACGCGAGCTGGGATGCCACCGAAGGGTGGGATCCGGTGACAGGGCTGGGCACGCCCTTGTTCCCTACACTTGTGAAATTGGCATTATCAGACGACCATGCGTAGACATGAATTTGAGTAATATATATAGCTATCAAAAATTCCAAGTCATGCTGTGGTTCTTTAATATGCAACAAATAAAATTGAATTGCCTGGCTTGTGTTAGTTGTAGTTGTTGTCAAAGGGTCAATATCCGATTATCAATATGCCCACACGTGACTGTAAGCTGACCGCCTACCGCAGCTCCGTCATGAGTATCGGAATGTCACCAACAATCATCAACCAAAACCCGAACTCTCTATTGTCTCCGCCGTTTTAATTACTGCCTTCGTCATAATCCGGCTAGGCTGCCTCATTCCCTTTCAGCATTGTCTTGAACCCACACATCCTCCATCATGTCCGATCTACAGTCCCTTGTGTCAGAGCTCCACGGTGCTGTCGAGCGCAAACAGTTCGATGCCGCCAACGACCTTCTCAGCCGTTCCAAGCGAGCTCTTCTTTTGCAAAATGCCTTGATCCCTACTCCCTCCACACCTCCCCAGCTTGTCGTTCTTGCCCGCCAAGTCCTTGAACTCGGAGCACTTGCCTCCATCCGCCAGACCGACGCCCAGCTATTCACACGGTACTACCAGCAACTGCAGCCATTCTACGATCTTGAGCGACATGCCGGCCTGCCCGGGCAGAGCTCTTCGGAAGTCGACTTTAGCACTAGCCAACGCAGCAAGATTACAGGACTGTATCTGCTTCTTCTTTTGAGCATGGGCGACAGTGCCAACTTCCACACAGTGCTGGAGGGATTGGTGGAAGAGGCTAGCTTGAAGGGTGGCCGTGTTGAGGACGATGCGTGCATCAAGTACCCCGTTGAGCTGGAGCGCAACTTGATGGAGGGAAGCTACGACAAGGTGTGGAGGGAGACAAAGTCCGAGCGTGTTCCGTCGGAAGACTTTGGTCTGTTTTCAAATGTAAGTTGCATGCGTTGCTCGGTTTTCATTTCAATGTCTCTGTTGGCAAAGATACTAATAAGAAGCTTTATAGGTTCTCATCGGCACTATCCGCAATGAAATCGCAGGTTGCTCAGAGAAGGCATACCCCTCCCTCCCCATTTCCAACGCCAAGAACCTCCTCTTCCTCGAGTCTGAGGGTGCGGTGATCGAATTTGCCAAGCAGCGCGGTTGGATTCTCCGAGACGGCCGGATATACTTCCCTGTTGAGCCCGAGGCATCTGCTAGGTCTGAGAGGGATATTCTTTTGGCTAGCGGCACCGTTATTGAGAATGCTTTGGGTTATGCTCGCGAGCTGGAGACTATTGTCTAATTAAATGCTCAATGGATCAATGGGAACGATATACTTTCTTCGGATGAATGGTTTTTTTCTTGTCTTCGGGCGCGGATGTACTTGTATACCTGTCGCTTATGCATCGTGCTTTCTCTAGCGTGTTCATGACTACAATCATGTTAGAATAATTTCGTCTTACGAATTTCCAGTAGTATTTTAGTCAAGGTCGACAACCCTATGGTAAGGTCTCACTAACATCTAGATGGACTTCTCAATTGGCATGGCTTTTTCTTTGACTATAGATCAACAGTCCAAACACAGAGCCTGCGATCATAGAAACTGCTCGAGACGCACAAAACCTCAGAAGGCCGAGTTGTGTCCTGTCCACCCTCCCACACGCCACTGGCATAATTCATACTCTCATGCTCAGTAAACTTCGCCAGAACCTCAATCCCCCAATTCGGAGCCCCATCTTCGTGCTTGTACGTAACCCGTACAAGCCTTGTCCCAGCATGCATACAGCTCGCCAGCACCAAAAAGCGGCACTCAGATACATCCGAGCCCGGAATCCTCGTGGTATTCAGTAACTGCAGTCGCCAAACCCCACCATCCAGACCTTGCTCGGCAAGAACCTCTCCCCTCCGCGTAGCATGGTACACACGAAGACTCTCATCATAGGATCCCGTCAGAAGAACCGGGGCATCATCGACCAAGGGAACATCGAGAGGCAAGATAGCAGTGACACCAGCAGTGTGGTGACGAGCTCGATCATCATGCTCGAGCAGCATGGGCGAGACATGCTCATCTGGATCATCCAATTCGGTGGTATTATCGAATCGGCGCGTGTGCAGCGAACCGAAGTCATTGCCCGTGAACATGAACGGGGTTGCAGACGGGTTTTGGGTCTCGGAGTCTGGGTTTCCGGTGCTTGTTGATAATGCAACAAACCAGACTTCGATCATCTGTTTGGCTTCATAGGTGCCCCATTCTGCTACGCTATCTTCTTGACGGATATCGCCCTCTGTTCCGAAGACAGCTGTCCGGCTATCTGAGAACGTGACGGCGAAGCCATCTGCTGCTGACTGGGGGAACCAGTTTTGCGGTGCCCAGGCGAGGAATAGTGCTGGGATTGATGGGTCTTCGTGTACTTGCTTCGTCCATAGTTGGGTGATGTTTGGGGTTGGGGATGTATCTCCGGTGGTGGATACTTCGAATAGAGCCACTGATCCCACGCTGGTTGCAATTGCGAATAGATTTTTGTGTCTTGGGTGGAAATGCAGGTCAAAGACTGCATATGGGACGGCAATTCTTTGGATTTGGGATCTAAGTGTTGTTAGTGGTTTCGTTATGAGGGTGTTATACCCCTCTGGCTGACTGCGAGGTAATATGATTGGTTGTGGTTGGCTTACAATGTTTTGCTAACAGGGTCTAGTTTCCATAGTTGTAGACTTCCAGTTTTGGACTGCTCGATTTCTCCATCTTCTGTTTTGTTCTCTGATAGAAGATAGGTGCCCACGATGAAATGGTCTGGGGCCTCGGGGCAGAACTCCAGGCAACTGGGCGGTTGGTCTAGAAAGACTGTAGTCGTTGACTGGGGGTGTTGAATGCTTGCCATTTTGATCTAGTCGGAGTTTTGTAATGACTCTAGACCTTGCAAGCCTCTTCAGTCGAGTCCGGAGGGGCGCCGGAATGTGGGGTCTGAATACGAAAATATGATCGCAGATGGGATCTATCAAAAACCGGGGTTCCACTGTACTATCTTCTTCCTGGTCACAACCTGCACGAAATGAGACCCCTTTGAACAGAAGAATTGAGATTTGAAGTCAAAAATCATAGGGCGGTCAGAATCTACGAAGTTCGAAGTATCGTGTCTACGGAAATATATATTTCTACATACCTACTACTTGAACAATATATCAGGTTTATCCATAGCGATTTTCAGATTGAATGGGAATACACTATACGATGTATAGTCATTCCCATATAGTAGGCTTGAATCATGAGTGACTCCGTTTGGTTTCGTCTATGAAGTTCAAGGGTGATCCGACCATCCTGTCTTCATGCATAATCCCTAATCCACGAGCGTTGACAAATTGCGCGAAGACGATGTCCCTCACTTCGAGATGGTTGATATCTGCGCAGGAGTTTGTTGTTGAAGTGAACAATTCTCCAATAACGATTGCCCAAGCTGCCTTAATTACTGTTGCCAAGATAATATTCACGGGTGGATTGAGTAGGTTTCTTTGCAAATGAGACTGGATCGCCGCGATATCTAGGTAGAAAAGATAGTTAGGCTGTTCAATCAACTCCACGTCGTTGGAACCATCCGTTCGAGAGGTTCCCCAGACCATCTTTATGCGTGGCCGAATGAATACAATCAAAAGGGGTCGGGGATTGTCGCCTTGAGGTTTGACCACCTCCGCTACAGCCTCAGCTGCCTCCGAAATAGAAGATGTGATCTGATATTCCACTTCTCCAAGTTCGAGTAGATGAACGCAACAAGCTGAGTATTTGTGAGGGGATGCTGAGTAGAATGCGGCATGATCAATTACCACCCCCTTTGGCTCCCCAGTACTGCTTGATGTGAAGACAGCATACAGTGCATTCTGAGGATCACTTTCCCCTAGTATATGCACTGAATGGTCCTTGCAACGCCGATCCTGGAAATCAAGATGTGTGCAGTTTTCGTATACAGTGTCGGGACCGCTGCCATTGCAATAGTTTCCGATGCAAATAACAGAGTCTACTAAATGTACCGCTGTCGTAACTTGCTTCTGTGAACACACCAAATGTGACACCAAAAATCTCTCGCAGATTTGGCGTGTACGTCGGGAGGGATGTGAAGGGTTGACCCACTGTTGAGTAAAATCGAGACTATTTCAACAATTCCCGCTCCTCCCAAACTTGTCACAAATCAGAGAGGGGCCGCGGGGAATATGATGGACATGATGGTCTCACTTCCCCCTCCACAGACGGTGTCGATGTTCATGGATCCCCTTGCCAACGTCCTCGAGATAGGTACCCACTCAAATCAGATGTACTGTTGTATGTGCGCTTCATCTCTCAATGCCCACCCATTCGGAACCGCTTTCAGGGGATGGGGGTTGGATGCATAGGAGACTATAAGCATCGCAGATCCCCTGTTACTAGCCGCAACAGGCAATCGAAGCGGCCTATTAAATATGTATCGAAGTTATATACCTACGATTTGAATATTCAGATACAAGCGCTTATTCATTGTTATGGGCAGAAAAGAAAGTTTGTCTAGGTAAGTGGAGTTTTTGTGATATACGCGATTGGCTTTCTTTCTTTTGGTAGTATTTCTATTCAAAAGACTAGGCCAGACAATTAGTTGAAATTTAAGGTAATACTTGGTGCCGGAGAGGAATTTATAATTAAGCATCAGTTAATTGCTAGGCACTAATCGCGCATCTAACCTTAATTCCGGGATGTAAATTCGATAGTACACTTCAGTGAGATAGTGGGTAGACCGAATATACTGACGACTCTAGGTATTGGTGACGGTTAACTCTAAAGACTTTAATATCAAGTCTAGGACTAAGGTTAGACCTTTGCTGTACAACATACTCGATACATCCCAAGAAGAACAACAACACCCTGAAATAACGAAATCTCCACTCCTAGTCTTGATAGTTAAGTAAGTTAGTGTGAGAACCTTGAAATGACGTTGGGGATAAAATAATAGTCAGCGATGACTTCAATCACTTAGGTTCACCAGGTAAAGTTCAAAACATGCATTAGACTGCATAAAAAGCAAGCGGTGAACACAAAATTACTTTTGCAAGCAAAATATCGGACAGACTCGCTGCTAGCGCGAGGAAATTCCCATATCATGCAGGTGGGCTGGGCTGCAGGGTAATGCGGGCGCGGGATTAGTTTACTTAGAAACCTCCACCTGGACAGGGCGATTCTCATCAATCATATAATCACTGTTCTCATTCATTCTCATGTATATATAAAACGCCGTAATTTGTTCTCAGTAGTAGTAATACAACTCACGCTCTTCTCATCAGGGCGGAAGATTTCGTCTCTACTCCGATCATTGACTTTTAGGATGCCTCTGTCCTACCCGATAGCCACGCGTCTTGTCGGAAACCATGCATGCATGCATTTGTCAAATTTGTATCTTCTGCTGAAAGAATCACCCGATTTCAGTAGAAGTCCAAGAGGAACCCTGGTAAAGACCAGCCAGTCTCCTTCCGAGTGCATGTCACATACCCAAAACATTTCTCTTTTTTCATAGCTGTTCCGTTATTCTCGATGCTACTACATAAATCTGCGTATACTGTTTGCCATATGCACCTCTTGCCTTTTATAGGTACATAAGGTGGATGAAAAATGCCATTGTTGACCCGGATACTAAAGCGTTCACAGTGGACTCGGAACTACCTATCCGGTATAGCCCCGGACCTAGTCAGGTATTTTGCGATGATTTAATACATAGAACTAATATCATGGGAGGGGATAAAGCATGTATAGGTAATGCGATTAGCAATAGTGTCTAATAGTACCCTCCTCGAAGAAACTTGAGTGTCACCACTTCGTCGCTTCCCAATAACACTCTCAACCAAGTGAAATGGCTAATCGCTTACCCACCAAGAAGTTATAATCATGAAACCAAGCAACTCAGGACAAACAATCAGGGGGCAGATATGTGTTCCTAAAACCCCTCAGACCTCTTTGTGCTAGAAATAACAGCCAATAGGAAAAATTCCCCGGTTGCGCACTTGGCACAATTAGTGCTGATTCGACTGTCATCTATGGAGTACCCGTGTTCGGAGTAGCCGTGGGCTCCGTAGTCATACTAGGTAGTTGTACACAAGACCTCCGGAGTTTTGACTATGTACTCCGTAGTGACCTCGGGAGATCCGACGGTTGCCGACGGGCTATCTACGACTAGACAAAGTAGTAGATTTTCGTAATAGCTCTAGACTCATAGGGTAATTAACTAGATCAATCTTCTTGTATCGAAATACAAATCTCCCTAAAGCTATTGAAGTTCCATTCGGGACACTTGTGCAGGATGTCTGTGTGGGTGCATTACATATGACTTAGGATCTTCAGCAAAGGGCGTGCACCAGTGAACTCTAAGTGTGACACACAACTCGTTATTTCTGTATTGGCTTCCTTGTAGATACATCGACGATGCATCGGAGTTGCATTGGAGATGCATTGAGGCGTCGATCACGATGTTTGGCTTAGACGCCAGGGCGATCTGGAGTGACTCATTGCCAATAAAAACCCGTCATTAGCACTAGAAGTGGGAGCTAAACGTCCAAACCTCGTAAATAAATTCATAATTATTATCTTAATGAGCTAGCTTAATGCAATGATACTCCATTTGTGATCCTACCGCCTGAAAAGAGTACTTAACAAATTTCTTCTCTGGCCCCCCACTTTTTCGTTCTTCTCTTGTCAAGCTCTCAAGAAATTAAAATGGACGATACCAAGCCATGGGGCTATCAATGGCGTTCGTCTCGATTGTTGGTGGTTTCGTCCATCACTGTTGCCCTATTCGCAGGTATGTGTGTGGTTGTTTCGATTTCCTCTCACACCTGAGTCTTACTAAAAAATCTATCAGAGACATTTCTCTACGGATTTCTTACTCCGATCTTGAGTTATATGCTTGAAGAACGACTGCATCTTGATCCATCGCAGACTCAGAACTACACCACAGCATTACTCACCACCCATGGATTCATTGGTCTCATCTCTGCTCCGATTGTCGCTTACCTTGCCGAGAAGACTCCGAGCCAAAAGAAGCCACTATTGATCGCTCTGGCAGGATGTTTCCTGGGAACTCTTATTATTGCTCTTGCCCCATGTGGTATGAGTGCCTCTTGCCTTGAATACGACTCTTTGAAGCTGATTATCATGAATAGTTTGGCTCCTCTTCGTTGGTCGCATCCTGCAATCTATGGCGGGTGCCGCCACTTGGGTGGTTGGATTTGCTCTATTAGCAAATAACGTGGACAAGAAGCACCTTGGACAGTCTATGGGGATGGCCATGTCATTTGTAACTGCAGGAATGGTCGGTGGACCAACAGTGAGTGGCGCAATGCTCCAGTTATTTGGCTACTGGGCCGCCTGGTCACTTCCCTTGGTTGTGCTTGTCTTGGATATCGTTGCCCGTCTGGTAATGATTGAGCCTGGACTCGAATCAAAGAAAAACAGTTCCTCGGGCAAACCTACTAGCAAGTCAGTTCTCAGCAATGACGGGGGACCAGAGGAATCGACTGCTCTGCTTTCTGATACGCCTTCTCCCATCGAGGCGGATGACTGTGGAGAGGAAAACAAGCACGACCTTAAGCATGAATACTACAAAGTCATGCTCACTGATCCGCGTGTTCTGACTGCATTGGCGAACGTGGTTGTTGTCGCCTCTCTCATGTCCGGCATTAACAACACCCTCCCTGTCCACCTGAGACAAGCATTCGGTTGGAAGAGTTTGCTCATCAGTATGATGTTCTTCTGTCTCCAAGTCCCGAACATCGTGCTTAGCGGCCCATCTGGATGGCTTCGTGATCGAATCGGAATTCGAGGACCTACCGTTTTCGGCTGGCTTGCGCTGATCCCTCTAATCCTCCTTCTGGGAATTCCCGGTGACTCCCACTTTCCATGGGCCGGAGGGGATGCAGCTGGCAAGTCTATCTTCACCAGCAGTTTGATTGCTTTGGGTAGTATTCTACCTCTTGTGCGCGGTGTAGGAGCCGTGCAACTAGCCTGTGAGTGATTTTGTTATATGTTGTCTTGTCCATTCCCCAACTAACCAATTTGACTTTTTGAATATAGATGTTGTCAAGGACATGGAGGCTAAAGACGCGCATCTATTCGAGGCCAACAGAAGCAACCTGCGAGTCTTTTCCATGACTGAAGTCGGATTTAGTCTTGGTATGATGATTGGACCCTTGTTAACTGGCTCGTTATTTGAATGGGTCGGCTTCTTTTACATGACTGTGGCACTAGGTGAGTCATACTGTCCAATAACTTATCGTTCGATTTACTCACCCGGTGCAGCTATTACCTGCCTCATCCAGGCCGTGATTTCCTGGCGTTGGTTGGATACCCTGCCCTCACCCTCAGCTCCCGAAGCTTCAGTTTAAAATATTCGCATGATTTATATATGTGCGAGATATTGAAACGAGACCCAGAAATCGTTTATTGTGATACAAGTACTTTAGCAAGGTTGATTAAGATATGCCTCAGGGTATATTTGAGATAAAAAATTAAATACATAAATATTAGTACTAAACAGGGTGCAAAGATAGTGTTGACCAATATTTATATTAGAAACATAGTAGTTGTACAACAATCGGCGATTTGTGGTTGGTGAAGATAACGGGGAACTACCCCGCGAGATATAAAGCGGCAGTTTCTCCATCTCTCTCAGAAGCACCACACAACGATGGCCGACTCAAAGACTGAGAGCTCGCAGCTTGCCGATTGTAGTCATATCCCGATTATCGACCTCTCAACTTTGGATAGTCCAAATTTCGATGACCGACAGAAACTTGCTCAATCAATCTATGATGCTTGTACTCAGGTTGGCTTCTTTTACATCAAGGTAGTTGGCTCTTATCGCACTCTCGGGCCTGTTCAGGTAGATACTAATAGCTCATGCTTAGAACCACGGGATTCCAGAGGACAAAATCAATGGCATACACAGCTCCGCAAAGCAGCTCTTTGATCTCCCCCAGGAGCAAAAGATGAAGTTTTATATCGGAAACTCCCCTGTATGCCTGCAAAACTGAACATGCAACAGGAAATACTAACTGTACTAGAAATTCCGCGGATATAGCCCCCTAGGTGGTGAGAAATCTATAGGAACAGACGATGATCCCATCGCCGAAGAAGACGCAGTCAGTGCTCTCTCCGAAGCATTTGACATTGGGTACGAAACTGCAATGGATCCTCAAAAGTCGAAAGATGATCCTCTTCCTCGCGATCCATATGGACTGTATGGAGATAACCAATGGCCCAGCCAAAACGTACTCCCAAACTTCACAGAGGCCTATATTGAATATTGTGCCATGATGCTAGGGCTCTGTCGAAAGATGATGAGAATATTTGCCCTCGCTTTGGGCTTGCCCGAAGAGAATTTTGATTCGATGACTCAGAACCCAGGTGTCACGTCTAGGATGATGCATTACCCACCTCAGCCAGTGAAGGAAGAGGTCCGTGAAGGGCTTGGGGCTCATACGGTAAGCAATTGACCAAAGTTCAATAAAGGATGTTCACCCAAAGACTGATTGCCTTATTTGATGTCAGGATTTCGAATGCTTCACTATCCTTTCCCAGGGTAGTGTCCCTGGCCTGCAAGTCTTGAGTCACAGCGGCGAGTGGATACTGGCACCGCCATTGCCAGGGACATTGGTCGTCAACATTGCAGATTGCTTGTCAATTTGGTAAGATTGGTTTGGCTTCTAATGAGGATATGTACTGACTTATTTAGGACGAATAAAAAGTTCAAGTCTACTATTCATCGGGTGACAAACTTGACTGGACAAGAACGTTACTCCATTCCCTTCTTCTTTGGGGTCGACTATGATACCACAGTGTCAGTTCTACCGAATCATATTTCGGATGATCGACCTGCATGTAAAGAGCCCTTCAAAGCAGGCGAGGTGAGTGATAGCAGAATGGGTCCAATACCGACATCATAACTGACAAGGGTATAGTGGGTTCGCGAACAGCTATCAAAAGCGTATGTTGGTTATGAAGGCTAGGGCTTTGTAGTAGACAATAAATCTTAGTGAGATGGAATCTTGAACTTGATTGCCCTGCTGGGTATTGAACTAAAGTTGAAGTACACAATTCTACACCATTATAGTACTTGAGGTCTAAATCAAAATCAAGTCATATATATCCAAGATGAATATGTGAGAGTTTTGATGAATTCCTTTTCAAATGATTCCTCCCACTTGAGCTTCAATCAACGTCAGTTTGTAAGCATCCGAGGCTGTTTCCGCAGGAACCCCGCACACGACCGTTGCCTGATCGCAGAGACCTGTAAGATTCTCTCCGTGAACAACATCTAGGATAAACACCCTCGGAGCTGTTTAATTCGCAATGTCGTTACCCTTCAGTACCCCGCCCTCCACGGCGACAGCCTCCCTTACACCCTTCAAGGCCACCATCCCCAAAGCCCAACTCGGCGAGCTCGAGACGTTGATTAAGATAGCGAAATTGGCACCACACACCTACGAGAATTCCCAAACAGACCGTCGCTATGGTGTTACCACAGACTGGCTAGTCACTATGCGGGATCAGTGGCTGAGGTCTTACCATTGGTAATGACATCACAGCGCACCGTGCATGGTATTGGACATAAGACTGAAATGTGACAATAGGAAATCCTCGGAGGATCGAATCAATAGTTTCCCTCAGTATACGACGGAGATCGAAGGTCTTACGATTCATTTTGTAGGGTTGTTTTCAGAAAGGAAGGATGCTGTTCCTATCTTGTTGTTGCATGGATGGCCTGGTAGGTCTTTTATCTTGCCCTTGATCTCATACTAAGCAAATGAGCAATTCATGGAGACTAATATATCATGCTAAAGGGAGTTTCCTCGAGTTCTTGCCTATACTGCAAAAGTTCCGAGAGGAGTACACGCCGGAAACGTTACCTTACCATTTGATTGTACCTTCATTGCCAGGTTTCACGTTCTCCTCTGGGCCCCCATTGGATAGAAACTTTGGAACAGGCGACATTGCTCGTGTGGTAGATCAACTGATGAAAGATCTCGGCTTTGAGAGCGGATATATTGCCCAGGGAGGTGACATTGGAAGTCGGATTGCTAGACACTTAGGCGTGGATCATGAGAGCTGCAAAGGTATGAAACATTCATGGTATTCATAGTTCCAAGACTGAGCTTTTTCTGACATGTTTTGATAATAGCTGTACACGGTGAGTACTGGCTTCATCAAGGTGATTTATTCAATGACCAGAATACGAATATATGCTAGTCAACGTGGTGTTCATGAGAAAGCCTGACGGCATGACGGACGACCACCTGAGTACCTCTGAGATAAAAGGCATCGAGAGGATGACAAACTTTGTGGCTACAGGTTCAGGTTATGCGACTGAGCAAGGCACTCGACCCAGCACCATCGGGCACGTTTTGTCATCGAGCCCTATGGCGCTACTAGCATGGTAAGTTACGGAAAGCGACAACGAACTGCAAAACTGACCCCTGCAGGATTGGGGAGAAATTTTTGGAATGGGTCGACGATCCGCTTGCCCCAGAGGACATCTTGGAATCCGTGACCTTGTACTGGCTTACCGAGACGTTCCCGAGAGCAATCTATACTTATCGACAGGCGAGTTCTTTCTACCGAATCTGACTTCCTCGAGCAGTTAACTGACGTGAATGAGTAGAACTATCCTGCGCCTCCAATTCCAGCTTCCAATGACCCCCGTTGGTATATCCACAAGCCATTTGGATTCTCTTCTTTCCCTATGGAGCTTGCTCCGCTGCCGCGCTCGTGGGTTGAAACCACTGGAGACTTGGTATTCTGGGAACAGCACCCGAAGGTATGAAATTTTGCAGTTGAATGAGAATCAATATCTGAAACTAACGTTTGATACAGGGTGGTCATTTCGCAGCACTGGAACAACCTGATGAATTGAAAGCAGACTTAGTCAACTTCGTAGCCCAGGTGTGGCCAGGAATTATTAGTGCTGAATAAGTCGAGACCAATAAGTAGGAGAGAAGGGTGGGTGTGAATATAAATAAGTTGATTTGCATCGGCACTTGAAATATATTTAGAATGTGAGTAGCTACAGCATAAAGTAGTGTGATATTATAGCAACGGCCGAGTATTGAACATGGTTATTGGGCTGAAAGAACCATTACATAGACTTTTCATTGACTTCAAACAAGGAATATATCTCCTCTTGGATTCGGCGTTGGGACTCGAGTTCTTGCTTCAGTTGGAAGAAGCGCCTGCATAGTCATACGCAACTAGTTAGACTGCAACAGGTTAATTGAACATTGATTGATTGATTGATTGATTGATCTAATCTCCCATTTCGGACCCGCAACACCCCAAATTCGCCAGATGTCCCTGGGGGACCTGATTGGAGCAGTATTCGCTACAGTAAGGTTCAGGGCCCAACAGTCACCTGATCGTGGGGCTGAGGTTCCCCTCTTCATGTTGGGGCCTTCTGTGCCTGTGAGAGCATCATCGCATACGAGCTATTGAACATGAATACCACATCGTTTGGTAACGAGAACTCAGGGACTCAGGTGGGGATCAACCATGGTCCGATAACTCAGAACTATTTTTCATCTGGTGAGAGACCTGAAGCCGTTTTCAAGCTCGGCAAAGTTGACTGAAAGCCACTTTTGAGGCCCAGACCGAAAGCGGACCCCAGAGCAGAATACAGACAACGGTTCGCATCGCCCCCAACGAGTCAAACGGACTTTCCACTCACAACTATAGCAGAGATACTTGAGTCACTGGCATTCCCGCAGATGCTTGACAGGAGGGATAATATCGAGCTGTGGCACACGAATACCTGTAAATGGGTTTTACACTTGGAAGAGTACAAGTCCTAGAGGAGCCAGTCCCACGGTCTGCTATAGATTAAGGGCAAGCCAGGTGCTGGAAAGTCAACCTTGATGGTATTCCTGCACGACAAACTCCAGATATCACAGGACGATCGTCCAGGTATTCGCCTCGACTTTTTTTTTACCGCTCGGGGTACAGAGATGCAACGTACACCACTAGGGATGCTCAGATCATTACTGAACCAAATTTTCATCTGCGACCCGACTGTACGTCCTCAGATACGTGAGATATACGACCGGCGATATAAGCAGTTCGGGTATGGCAAACGTCAGTAGGAATAGCTACAGGTGATACTGGAAGAGTTACTAGCAAATGCTATCCTAGTATCAGCTAATCGGTAGTACGTGGTAGTTTTTGTGGATGCTCTAGACGAGGCTGGGACCAAGTCTGCTCAGCAGCTGGCGGGATATTTTTATCGGCTTGTTGGTCGCGCCGAGAAAAAGAAGCTCTATATCCAAGTCTGTATCTCATGCCGACACTATCCTATCATGGAAAGTGGCCAGGCTATAGAGATAAAGGTCGAAGATCATAATCAGCAAGACATTGCCACATATATCCAGGATACCCTTACCATGACAGAGGCCAAAGACAATGCCAGTCAGAATACCAGGGAGATGCTGGTTAAGAAATTGACCCAGCAAGCAAATGGAGTGTTCCAATGGATTCATACTGTACTCCCAATTATTGAGCAGAAGGTTCGGGAAAAGGAGTTATTTGAAGATATCTGTTGCTGGTTACATGAGGTTCCAGCCGGCCTTGAAGATGTCTACATGTATATTCTGAATAACGTGATAGAGACCAGTAACCGTGAGCAGTCACTGCTGTTCTTTCAATGGGTATGCCTGGCTGAGCGACCCTTAACTGTGGCCGAGATGCGGTATGCTTTGGTGGCTAAGCACGTGCGGGAACCGCTGTCTCCAAAGAAATGGGAAAGGATTCCCGGTTTCATCGAAAGCAACGAACGCATGCTGGGAAGAATCAAGGCTCTTTCTGGAGGACTGGCCGAAGTCGTCCCCAGTACGGATAATAATGCCACTGTACAGGTGGTGCACCAGTCGGTCAATGATTTCTTGCGCACAAAAGGGCTCAAGGTTTTGTGCCATAATATCGGCATGAGCATGTCGTCCATGAACGAAGATAAAATTCTTTCTCAATGCCAGGCAACTCTCTACCGGTCGTGTTTAGTTTGTCTTGCAACAGCTCATATACTGGCAGAAACCACTGAGTTCAAAAGGACTAAAAAGAACGTTACCCAAGATCATCCGTTACTTCAATACGCCACTATAAATCTCTTTATTCACGCAGAAAAGGCTACCGACTTTCGTTGTGATGTTCTGCCTAATGAGAAGGAGATTCTACAAAAGGTGCTCATTTCTTGGGTCCAGATTTATCAGAAGCTGGATATGACTAGCAGGGCATGTCCACAAAGAGGCACAACGCTATTACATATGGCTGCCGCTGCCAATCTTGTGGATCTCATAGAACCTTTGTTATCGAATAATGAGGATTCTGCGGAAAGGAACAGTGGTGGAGATACAGCATTTCACTTGGCAGCCAGTGGTGGTCATATAAAAGTCGGTGAAATACTCCGAAGAAAGGGAGCAGACCAAGAGGCAAAGGACCACTTAGGCAACACCCCATTATCTAAGGCAGCCAGTGGTGGACATATAGAATTTGTCGAATGGGCCCTAGATAAGGGCGTGAATCTGAAAAGAAACGGAGATGGAGGTGCACTACAAGCAGCTTCTTTGGGAGGCTATGAAAGTGTTGTACAGATACTGCTCAGAGCTGGAGCCGATGTCAACGCCCAGGGTGGTGGATACGGTAATGCCCTACAGGCTGCTGCATGGAACGGAAGCCCTGAGATAGTGCAGATACTGCTCAGAGCTGGCGCTGATGTTAACGCCCAGGGTGGTTACTTCGGTTATGCCCTACAGGCCGCTGCATTTAATGAAAGCCCTGAGACAGTGCAGATACTGCTCGGAGCTGGCGCTGTTGTTAACGCCCAGGGTGGTCACTTCGGTTATGCCCTACAGGCCGCTGCACTTAATAAAAGCCCTGAGATAGTGCAGATACTACTCGGAGCTGGTGCTGATGTCAACGCTCAGGGTGGCAGATACGGTAATGCCCTACAGGCCGCTGCCGCTCCATATAAAGGAAGCCATAAGACAGTGCAGATACTGCTCGGAGCTGGCGCCAATGTCAATGCCCAGGGTGGCTTTTTCGGCAATGCCCTACAGGCCGCTGTATGCAATGAAAGTCCTGAGACAGTGCAGATACTGCTCGGAGCTGGTGCTGATGTCAACGCCCGGGGTGGTAGACACGGCTCACCTCTCTTGGCGGCTATTCATGACGGCTATTTTGATAAAGTTCAGCTTCTTCTTCATGCTGGCGCGAATTCATTACTTGCAGATGAACTCGGCCGCACTCCTCTTCATATTGCTGCTTCAAGAGATATGCTCCACATACTGCGTCGCTTTCCACAACTAGCGTCAGACCTCAACAAGCGTAGTGATTTCTTACAAACTCCTCTCCACCTGGCAGTTTGTCATGGTCACATTAGTTTTGCTATTGCCCTTCTCAATTCTGGTGCTGATCCTTCCCTCCTGGATGGTTATGGTCGACATGTTATGGACTGGGCATCCAATCACGAAACCCTGCTACAGGAAATACATAATCATTGCTCTGATCTAGTGTTAACACCTCCTGCTACTCAAGAGCTAACTGTTCATCGATCACTCATCGAACTCACTGAGTCGCTTCTATATTCCAAATCCAAACCTTCATGGCCCATTTTACAACAATTAGGCCGCTACTTTTTGTTTCTTGGCCAATTCGACAAAGCGCGCTATCTGTTCCAGCTCCATCTGTCTCGAGATGCTTCCTCCAAAGAAGATATTTGGCAGATCTCCTGCAATACGTGCAACTTCGCTATCACCGGGACTCGCTTTGTATGCAAAGTGTGCGCCTGTATCGATCTCTGTTCCTCCTGTGTACAGAGGTACCCCTGCCATAGCCGATTGCATCCAAATCAAGAGCACGAAGTCTTTGAGGTGCCCAATGTGCCTAACAAAAACTCCCCATTCACCGGGCTAGCATCAGAGCGATTTAATCTTTTCTTGAACAATATTGTTCATGGACATCTCGAGGAAAACGCTGGTCAATCTGAGCAAGAGCTATTCAATGATTCTATATTTGCTCTGGCACTGAGGGAGATAGCTCTAGTTCCAAAGACAGCTTTCAGCTTGGTAACAACCATCTCTGGGATCATATTCAGCGTTTCCGCTCTTTTGTTAGGAGCTTGGTATTTTATAGCAAGGTAAATTATTTCATACTCTCCCTCTATCTCAAATTCTGTAGTATTTATGGTTGTGCTATACTGAGAAATTTTGTTTTGTACTCATATCAATCAATCAATCAGAGTTCAATTAACCTGTTGCAGTCTAACTAGTTGCGTATGGCTATGCAGGCGCTTCTTCTAACTGAAGCAAGAACTCGAGTCCGAACGCCGAGTCCGAACGCCGAATCCTAGAGGAGTACAGATGGTGATCAAAAAGAGCGTGGAATCAGCCCTGTCCTGTAACCCGTAAATTCCGTAAACCCAAACCCATACCCAATCCCATGCACAAGAAATTATTTAATGATTGCCGTGGAGTGTACCTTCCACCTTCCAACTCCTACTTCCTACATCCCACTTCTCGCTCTCACTTCTTACTCTCCCTTCTTAATCTCTGCCTTCTCCCTGCCTCAGTTTCAATTGGTGGCCAGTTTATCAGCATGGTTGTTATCCCTGGCTGAGTTTCTCGTTCCATAGCTTCATTTTCGTCATTAGCTAATACCTATTGTCTTCCATACCTAGATCTATTACCGCAAGGCCTACCAGTTCGTCGTCGTCCTTAATCTCAATGTGTTACACCTGCTGGAGAAGACCTATTTGGTACATTCATTTGACCACATAGCGGGCAGCCTACGGGTTCGAAGTAATCTTGTCGTAATCTATCTCGATACCGAGATCATACAACTAATCCTATAATTTCGTACGCAGGATGATATATCGCGGGCACTGTATCAAGATATGTTTTGGTATCTGTGAGCCCTTATCGTATGGATATCGGTCGGACTCTGCCGCCTTAATCTTAAACAAGAAGTGTCGCAGTCGATCCACATTGTGCGTATCTGAATCAGGATTGCACACTGCGGCTTTATTAGTCCCTTGTACAGTCGAAGTGTCTTCTTGTTCGGTGCTTACCCCAAGCGTTTTGTCGGCGCAGAGGTTGTCTTGCGCTCCTACTGCCGCTCCCATTGCTCTCTGATTCGCTGGCGTACCGCTCTCTTAGCAGCTGCGGTAAGGCAGATAATCGGTTCACCCGTCTCGCTCCCAGTCGTAACTCCTATCCCTGTACTAAGAAGCGCGGCACTTTTCGCTTCGCCATCGGCCTACTCCTATACAGTAATACTCGGTAGTACTAATAGCGTATATCTCTCCCCTTCCTAATCCAGATCCCCCCTAGGGGCCGGGTTAACAAAGTAGATTAATATGTATAGGCCTTGACAACTCCCATGGGACTAAGAAAGGTTTTGGTCCCATATCCTGGTCCCATCTACTCCCACGGGACTAAGAAAATTCTGCTCCCATTGTGACCAGCCAGTCCTTCAGTTGAAAGAGTGCATTTCATTGAGAATACTAAGTACGGGAAAGGAAAGGAGAAGGAAAGAAAGATCGAAGAGCAATCGTCCCTTATACCCAATGCAATCCAGGCAAACATCTTCATCCTTTACTTATCCTTTCCTAGAAAGCGGTCTCTACTTCACACTTCCTCCGCATCCAACTACACCTCAACAAGAAACACCAGAGCATAATATTTTCATCCAGCGCCATCTAAACCATGGCATCAACCAGAACAGCCGATGAAATATTCTCCGATGAATCAAGCTTCTACGGTAAACCCCCTCTCATACTCCTACCCACCCAAGGGACCCCAACTAAGCCACATCAGGCGACGACGATGAAAAGGCCCAACTGGAAGCAAAAGTCTCACCCTACGACCCAGAGCCATTCTGGGTAGAAACCCATCAGAAGCAGTTATCAACCATCCAGCAGAATCTGCGCACGCCGCCGACACGTGCAAAGGCCGCATCATCAGACATTTCTATGGACGATGCATCCCCAGAACCAGGCACCATACCGCGCAGTAAGCGCGGGAAGACCGAGCCTATAGCTCGCTTTTTATCGCGTCTTCCACCTTCAACAACCCAAGCCACGGACGTTGGGCCCTGGATTTGGATGTACAATCCGCATTTGCCGCCTAAACGGAGTGATGATGGGGACATTCCCACTCTGCTTCGGAAAGGCAGGGAGCTTCTCCAGGACTACGAAAACGAGAGTGCCATTCTGCGCGAGGCGCATGATAAGTCTGGTGCGAAGACTACGGCTGGTTTGACGCGTAAATTGAATACAATGCGGAAGGAGCTTGAGAAGAGTATTCTTGATCTTGCGAGGGAGACTGGTGTTACCCATGGGAAGTGGATGATGTTTCCCACTGTTGACCGGGTTGATGAGTTATGGGGGACGGTTGTTAGGGCGATGGAGAAGGGGGAGCTTGGGGATGCGGCGAAAGTTGCTACCGATGGTGGGTCTGGGGAGAGTCGTTTGATTTGTGTTTATACGGAGGATTTTTGGGATGTTGAAGATGTCAAGCGGGTTGTGAGTAAATTGGTTGATATTGGGCTTGTTGGGAAGGGGTCTCGGTCTGTTTACTACAAGTCTGATGCGTTCACTTATCTGGAGATTAACTCTAAGAATGAGTATGGGCTGAAGGCGAGTATGTATTCGAGTCGGGAGGTGCTTGGTGGGAAGTAGGTGGGATTATGGCTTTATGATTGATGAGAATATGATTGACAATTAATGTTCTGCTGTAGTGGGTATCTCTGAACGCAGTTATCTACAAGTTTATGGTACTTGATATGTTTCCGGAAATTGGTGGCAGAGGGTGGGATATGTGCCCAAGGCATTCCCAGAAGCCGGGGTAGTAGTGGTGGTTTCGTCAGGGGTATTCGTCGGGAACAGGGCCAGAGGCAGGTACTGATTGATCATGTCTTGCATAGATCGGGAGCGATCTGTCTGCATGAATGAGCCGGCTCATTCATGACTGCAATTGTCGTTCCAGTCAGAAATGATAACTCACTTCGACAAGGTCCATTGCCGAGGAAGTCCAGCCGCATGGATTATGACCGAAGAAAAGTGTGCGTCAGGGGTGTTCAGTCATCGTGGCTTTCCCGGTTCATGACTTTCTCACACGCTTCCCGAACCTCAGCAACCCCCTTAACATCACCCCAAGCGTCGAGTAAATGCTGGATCTCTTTCCAGTCCTTCTCCGCATCATCCTGTTTATCCTCTGCCACAAGCTTCTCCAATCTCTGTGGTGCAGCGAGCACCCACCGAACAGTGTCCTTCTCATTCTTCTGACTTGAAACCCCATCTGCCAGCTTCGCTTCCTTCATTCGCCGCCGCTGCTCCTCGCCTTCTTTGATGAGCCCACCAGCAGTCTCAGCAACGAAGGCAATAGCCGGACCCAGCGTTTTCGTCATAGTCAACGGTGCACCGCGATCGTCCATACTGCGCCGCATTTTACCAATTGTCTCCACAGCTCGAATCAACTTCGAGTAGTTATCGTAGACCAGCGCTTTCCGCTCTCCGTCGAGAGTACGGATATCCCCAACCAATGTGTTCTCCGCCTTGAGCACCGTCGACAGTGACGATGATGACAAGAGATGCTCGACATACCGCTGCGGGTCGAAGTCTGCACTGTCAAGCTCCGTTCCTGAACCTAAAGCGGTTGGGTCGGAGATGTCTCCTGCATCTGGGTTCCGCGGCACACTCCGGGAGCGAGATGCGTCCCGGGAAGCGGATGCATCTGCACCGGGCGGTTTGAGGTTGTAGTAGTCTCGCAGAGCGCTGCGATTGCGTCGGACATGGAGTGAGGGGGAGAGAGCTCGTGTAGTGGATGGGGTAGATCCGGCGCTGAGGCCCCCGCTGACGTTGGTGTTCAATGCATCGAGTGACGGGCGGGAGGAGGTTGGGCCCGGGGAATGGGCTCGGGAGGAGGCAATGGAAGGACGTGGGGATGATAGAGTCGACATTGCAGTGTGTTGTGGGGGAGATGTGTCGGAGTTCTCGGAGGCGAGACAGTCGGGCCAGATCAATTGCTTTAAGCGGTGGTCTGTGCTTTTGTTTTTCGCGTTGAGAGCTTCCCCAACTTCAACCTTCGTTACTTTCCATTAATTCACCATAGGCGCCAATATGATCCTGAGGGAGCTCAAGACATCATGACTAGTCCTGATCAAATTGCAGCTCAGATACTGAGCACCAAATCCCTCTCAGTCGCCCAACCCTGGCTCAATGCCTTTCTATCATCATCCAGCACAGCACAACGCAATATCCCCCCATCTGCTCTCGCAAAGACGGCTATATTCCGTCTCCTCGCCTCCGATATCAAAGAATCACTCTCCAAACACAGATCATGCGTATTACCTGTCGACATCCACGACCCGAAGGTCCAAGAGCAACGGCTACAAGGCTCAATCCCCGTGCAAGTGCTAGACATCGAAGACATAGGCACGAGCTTATGGAGCCAGATCGAAGCGATTGAACGCGTTGAGCGCGGCGAAGCAATCCGTGGCCGTGAAATCGTGCGCACAGTAGCTGTAGGCGAGGATCCTGAAGCGTCAGAGAACAATCGCGCGAATAACAACCCTACGAGTGGTGCTGCGAGTGCGTCCGGGAACAGTGGGTATGGGCCGCACCGGTTGATTCTTCAGGATGCAGCGGGCACGATAGCCGTTGGTGTTGAAATGCAACGTATTGATGGGATAGCGTTGGAGAAACTTTCTATTGGGGCGAAGCTCTTGCTCCGTAATCCATCTGTTGCGAGAGGCATGGTGCTGCTTTCTCCGGAGTCTGTTACTTTGCTCGGAGGCAAGATTGAGGCTTTGGATAAACCGTGGAGGGAGGGTAGGAAGGCTAGGTTGCTAGAGAAGACCGCAGGTGTCGAGAGATAATCAGAAGAGACAAGTCATCATGGGCTCAAGCAGCCGAACAGATGGCTTCTTTAAATTCGGACTTATTACTCAGGTATGGGATTTGCGTTTTTCTTAGTTTATCATGAATACATTTCTTGTGTTAAATTTCATGTTGTCATGTTCATTCGCTAAAGACTGATGTGCAGTTAAAAAGTAAATACACTGTGCATCAAGTTCACCCAGCCCTCGCGCTTTACGGCGCATGCGTGCCAGGGTGGCAGAGTAGTTACCTCATCGTCCGATTACTTCCGTCCATGGCTTGTACGGCGCTTCCATGCCAGGGGAGATTTCTCGTCGTCTGAATCCTCCGATTTGTGACCAGTGCAGCGCGTCCACATGTTCCGGGTAGGGATGTTGTGGCTCAGTTCCTCCCAGCCAGCACGTTTCCAAGGGGCAATCATGATCGCTCGGAAGGCGTCACCAACCTTGCCAGTTTGGGCGTAGGCATCGCTGAGATCCTCAGCTCCGAGATTACCGTAAGGAGGCACGCTCTGCAGAGCGCGGCTGATAGTCATGGCCGCTGGGTATGGGTTTCGCGACGCTGCCGACAACTCCATCCACCCAGCAGGTTGGCCGGGTGTAAGCATCACGGCAGCGGTGGCATCGCCAATGCGCCTGATACTTTCGGGGACGGTTGCATTATCGTTAAGTCCCATTGCTGAGATGGCACTCAGGAGTTTGATGATTTTAGCTCTGTCGTGGAGATCGATATCATCGCGCGAGATCATGGCGTTAAGGTCTGATTCAACTGCCTCAATGGCGTCCCGGTCCGCATCGAGGAGAGCGATAGCACCCAAAAGGGTGACTGCTCCGATGTGGTCAGGGTGATTCATCACACAGTCCAGCAGTTGCTCGCGAGCAACAGACCGGTTCTCCTCGCCACCCTTGGCCCACAGGACCTGGGCAAGAAGGCACACAACATCTGGGGCGTTCTGAGCTTCTTCTAGGGCATCCCGGAACATATCAATGGCTTGGTCCATCGACTTCAGGTTGTAATATGCCAGACCAGCAGTCAGATGCGCAGACAAACGAAGCTTCTTGCAGGCTTCGGGGTCAAATTTCTCCGCGTCTTCCTCCCCAGAAAGAGTGAGTGCGAGCTCGGCCTTCTCTGCAGCCTCCTCATAGGAATGGCGTGCAAGCAGGACACGAGCCATATCTGCGTTTGCTTGGGCATACCTCGAAAGGGAAGCTGGTGATTCAGTCTTTTCAAATTCGTCTTCCATGCCTGAACAGACAACCTGTAGGCTAGACTCGGCATCTGCGGTCTCGCCCATTCTCTCTGCCAACAGGGCAGAAAGGTGCACAAACGGCAAGTTTGATGGATCCTGGATGCAGAGTTGGTGCAGTGCGAAGAATGGCTGGATGAGTTCGGACACATTAGAGGAGGAGGTCTCATTAAGATGATCAAAGTGGGTCAGACTGAACTGGCGCTTAGTGAGAATATCGGACGAGTTTGAGATATCAAACGCATGCTCGAAATTACCCCTCGCCTCCTGTGTGTTGCGACAATCAAGTGAAACGAAGCCTTGGCCGACCCAAGCCAGTGAATAGTCTGGGTCGGTGGCCTGCGCGCGCAAGAAGATCCTGTATGCATGGTAGCCTTCTTCGTGGAGGAGGTAAAGTCCTCCAAGATTTGTCCAGACTTGTGCGTTGCGTTCATTTAGATGCAAGCTTCGCACGAAGGCATGCTGGGAGACCTTAGGACTCATGTTTGCAGTGACGACACCCAATGCGTTCCAGAAATCAGCATTGCCAGCCTCCAATTCAATCGCTCTTTTGAAGCACCGCATGGCTGCTTTCATGAACTTGCGAGACTTCTTGCTTTTCTTAGTCGTGTCCGGCTGCAAAGTGCGATGGGCCAAATATTCGGCCCAACCAAGGTTGTACCAGGCAACTGCTTGAGAATGAGCATCATGCACGGAAACGTGGAGTGCGCGTTTAAAAGCGATTATGGACAGGTGAACGTAGAGCTCAGATGGGATCAACTCTTCACTGGCATTGGCTGCGAGCCAATCAGCTCCGACACCATCAATGTCGGTCATGACATCAAGGGCCATAGGGTCAAGATCGATCGCCAGTAAAGCCTTGCAGGTGGAAGCGGACAGCTTTCCGGCCTTTGCCTTCATGTATGAGAAATTGGAGAAAGCATCGCCTACAGCCTTCCACAGGTTGAAGATGTCGCTTTTAATCTGCACTAGCGAGCTAGCCACCGAAATGGCTTGGTATGCGAGCTCTGCCGCATCATTGAAGAGGCCAAGGCCAAGGCTCTTCGCCGAACTCTCAGTCAGGGTCTGAAGAAGCGCGAGAGTCACACCAATATCATCAGGCCGGGATTTCAGGACATCTTCGTAGGCAGCAATGGCGTCGTCGTACTGGCCAAGCTCCCGCCTGACGTTTGCCAGCATATACCTTGCAAACCATACATGTTCCTTCTCTTTAGTTGAAAGCTCTGGTTCCAATGACTTTGCTTGCTCAAAGGCCCTGGTGGCGGCGTTGTATCGACCAGAGTGGTGGTAGCTTTCGGCAAGACCGACCCAAGAGTGGTAATCTGTCGGCGCGAGTCGAAGCGCTGCTTGGAAGGACACAACACTTTTGCTGTATTGTTGTTTGTTAACCTGAACCGACCCCAGTGCCGCATATGGCCAGCTGTACCCTCGGCGCTTTGACCCAGGGGAAGGCCTAGCCTTGCCAGAGTCAACCACCCGCTGCGCAATTGCTTCGACGAGGTCCCATTCCTTCGAGTCGGCAAAGCCCCTAGCAAGGCGCTCTGCAGCTTCAATCTCAGAGGTTGACAGTTCAAATGCCTTGTGGAAGCATCTGCGAGCTCTGACCTTATCCTTCTTGTAGTCCGCGTAGTAGAAACCAAGAATCGTGTATGCTGGAGCGAAGTTCATATTGGCCTGAATGGAAGCAAAGAGGCTAGCATAAGCACCACTGCGATCTTTGCGCGCAGCTGGGGACGGATCAAGCTCCCACTGGCAGTAACCAATGCGGTAAAAAAGCTCAGATTTGAACTCTTTGTTGTCAGGTTGAGCTTCTTTCAGGTCCTCAAGCGTAGCCTGAAGACTCGCTAGGCCACCTTCAAGATCGCCACTCAATGCCTCGCACCAAGCAAGTTCTCCACGAATCTTAAGATTAGCAGAATCGCGTTCAAGGGATCGCCGCAGGAAGTCGACAGCTTCTGCGTAGTCCTGATCCTCTTTTAAAATCAAACCAATCCCAAGCAGGCAATTGGAGGAAGTTGGGTTCCGTTCGAGGATGCCCTCAAAGATTTTTTTCGCATCTGGGTGATACCGGGGGGATTGATAATGGATCATGGCATTGGCAAGTGCGTTGTTCAGGGCATCAACAGTGTTGGGGATCTTGATCCCACTGTATTTTACCAAGGTCTCAATGTACAGCAACCCCTTACGAGCAACATTGACCACGCTTTGATACTCCTCGAAAGAGAGGTAGACATTTGCCATGATGCGGTGGGCAAGAATTGAATCCCGAGCGGAATCCAAGCCCTGAACCATAAGGACAAAAGGGTCTTGAGGAGCAGCTGCATCGTCATCAATTTCGTTATCAGGCTGAGTGGCTGCGGTTTCCTTGCTATCCTTGTCGTCTTTACCGTTTGTTTCGTCCGAAGGGTCATGGGGAAATGGCGATAGTTTGCTCGATAAAAATCCTTTGAGAACCTGGGAGAGTCCAGATTCTGGGAAGAACTCAATGTACTCGCGCAGGTGCCCCACGTCATATTGGGAAAAATCCTCCACATCCAACCATCCCAGGAAAACCTTCCATGCGGGTTCGAAGGGATGTTTGATGATCACCATATCATGTGCAGCCTTAAACACAGCTGCTCTCTTCGCCTCTTTCTCGGCGTCACGCAGAACACCGAGTTCTTCATATGCACGCTGGAACAACTTCTCCTCGTATTGACGGCGTACCGCATCGTCGTTGGTCCAATCAATCATTCCTTGGTAAAATTGATCCAATCTGCTCTTGTTGGCAGCTTCCCGGCGAACTTCCTGGGTGACTTGTTCGATGCGAGCACCAAGACGCGTTCTGCGCTCTCCAATCTCACGATTGATAAACTCTCTTTCCTGGCGCTCGGTGATTTCAATCAATCGCTGGTATGTTTGGGACGGACGGGGCAACCGGCCCTCCAAGAATTCGTACAGAGGTGATCCTGGTATCTGGAGTTCCAATGCATGCTTATGTTGAGCTAAGGTCCCCTTGTTCTTCATCGTCTTTGTGTATTTGTTAATCAGATCTTGGCAGCGTTCCTTCTCGTCGCTAAATGTCATCAGCACTGTGTCCTTCGTAATTCAAAATTACCAAGGAACCAAAGCATACTTATCGGCGAATATCTTTCCAAGAGCAATGACTGCCTTGTGATAACCATCGTGGTTACAACCACCCTGCTTCTCGTACAGAGAGATCAAGCCCTGCCAAGCAGTTTTATCGTTGGGATTGATACTGGTCGCAGCAGAATAGGCATTCTCCGCGTCATTGTTCCTATTCAGCCGATCGTTGGCGAGACCGAGGAAGACATTCCTGAAAAAAACAAACCGAGTTAGCCATGTTCCATACAGAATCAGGAATTGTCATACGCGTGGTAATTCGTGGGCTCATTCTTGACAAGCTCCTTGGCCTTTTCAGCTGCAGCTTGGTAATCTTTCGATTCCAAAGCTGCTCGCACGGCTTTCAATGCCGCTTTGCTCGACATTATTCCCGTTGTGCAGAGGCAGCGGGGAGAAACTGTCTTGGTGGAGCAAAGCGGTCGGCTAGCTCGCGATACGTCACTTCTTATCGTTATCGAAGGTGGACACTGATGGATCCTCGAGCTGGCAATGAGCTTGCTGTTAGCCTGAGAGTCTGAATTAACAGATAGAAGGAAAGGATGACCTCGGAGATCTCACGCCAGACGTACTGAGAACTGAGAACAACTTAAGGGAGTCAGGATTCTCTGCGAGGTCTCTGGAAGTAGTCAA